AGGGCCCGGCCGGCCGAGCCTCGGGCTGCTCAGAGTGGGACCCTCCGAGGCGTGAGGATGCGTCTGAGGAGTTCAGGGGACCCCTCGCCACCCCCCATCTGCCGAGCACCAGTCTCAATTTCCCTTCCTAGGCAAGCAAGAGTTTTTAAAAGCACGGTTGGTTGGGGTTTTTTTTTTGCCCGGGGAGGAGCTCTCCTGTTCCATTTTTCTTAGTATTGTTTCCTTAGCAGTTTGGACTTCAGGTATTTTACAGACCACATCTCTTCCCAGGTGACATCAGCAGCCGGCTTCAAATTCCACTGACAGTTAATGCAGTCTGAACCATTGCATAACAAACCAAACCACCGTATGATTGCCCGAAGCCAGGCTGAAACTTTGCAAACTCAAACCCAGAGAAGACTAGAACCAGGATGACTTGTCAGAATGTGTGTTTCAACATTCTCAAATCCCGTGGCCATTTGTTTTTCTGTTGCTTAACCATGAGCTATTTCGGTTATTTGTTTTCATGGAACCTGACATACACTCTCTGCAAGGCAATTATTCTAATAAAATAGTTTATGAAGCAAAAAGCAACCACTTCACCGTTCGACTTGCCGTCGGGTGGTACAGTGCATGCAACTTGCCATACAGCACCTTCTCCTTTCGGTGCTAAGATAGTTTCATTATTATCAGCTCTAACTAATGTTTCTGACACTTGTTTCACCGGTGAGCTCACCCTTCCCTTTCCCTGCTTGAAACCAACAGAAAGGTAATGGACTTATGTAGGCAGGAGACAGATCGAAGCGCAGATAAACCTTTGGAAACGCTGCCCTGAATTACAGGGCTACACCCATATAGATGCGGAGCTGCAATGAATTCAGTGGTGTACTGCCAATCACATGGAAGTGCTAATATATGCCAAAAATTTTCAGTGCACAACTCCTAAACTGGTATAATAGGGGGATATGCAATGGCAGGTGGTGTTACAGAATCGTCATAGAATGGAGAGAGCTTTGCTAATACAATATGCCCGTCCTTCGTGCTGACATGTGACGAGGGGTCAAGCTGCTAATGAAGGTCTGCTCCATTGTGGCTGGAGGCTCAGAAGGTGGCTGCTGGAAAACCTCCTTCTTTCTCCAAGATGGTATGCAGGCTGCTGCTTTTCAGGTTACAGCACACACGCATTCTTCCAAATCCTCTGTGTAGCTCCTAAAGCACTGGACAAAAATAAGGAAAGATGCCCCAAAAAACCTGCCTTTTTATTATTCATGAAATATCTTGGTAAATGGAAAATTGTGCCTCCAAGTCAAACTGAGGAGTGAATAGAAAGCAGGGAACCACAGCACAAGCTTATACTACGGGAGATCTGCATCTCCAACAGACTCCCTTCAGCTACCCTCTGCAAGATGTACATTTGTCAAAATTAATTTAGAATATGCAAGACTCACTGGTTTGTCTCCCTGCTTACACCAGCCTCTCACGCATGTATACACTGCAGCACTGCGCTAGCTTCTCTCCTGTTCTGCAGTGCCATGTTACCCACGACCTGCCAAACTATGTCTCCCTCGTGGTGTTACACGTGCGCGTGGGAGCAGTGAGCGGCAGGGCTGCAGAGCCCCATGGCAGACGAGCCCTGGGGCAGGTCCCCCGATCAGCTCCTGCCCCCAGCTCACCCCACAGTGCACACATCTGACAGTGGCAAGGCCCAAACATTGCCCTCCTCAATGATACACGGGTTTTCAGCATGAATCTCCAGAAAATACTTCCATTTAACTATACGCAGGCAAATGTGGTTTGGTATGTCTCCATTTTCCCAGTCTGATATTCTACTGCCTACTGTGGGGGCAGAGGGAAGGCCATAAGGAGGGCAGCTGCAAAAATCTGCATGTTTCCCTCTGAAGTAAGTGCATGCTAAATATACTTTGAGAGAGAGTTATTCTAAAATAGTAAATTAAAAGCCTAAATAAGAAATTCCAAACAAAAGAAAAATCTTTGAATGGTAAGGAATAAATAAACAGAAAATTAATGGGTATGAAGTGGAAAATAAGAATATTTTATAAGTTATTTCTTTAGTATACAAGAAGTCAATTTTTTTTAAAAAATCCTCTTTAACAATAAAACCCCCTATCATTTAAAAATACTTGCCTGCCACTATTGTTGCCATTTATTTAAAAGAACAAACCAACAGTAAACAAAAGATTGTGACACAGAAAACTTCTGCCCAGAGGAAAGAAACAAATCAGCCTAAGTAGCATCCGATACTTAAAAAACCCCAAACCAGCTCCCTGCCCAAAATCCAGTCACTCCCCAAACCCAGTTATTTGGCTCTGTCTGCTTCAAACCAAGCAGCCAACCCACCTGCCTTCCTGAGAGTTTCCCTCTCCACTCAGTGGAAATGGGTTTAAATGTCACATTCCAGTTGGGACTCTTTCCATATATTTACACATATGGACATCCCCTGTACGTTCTCTCTTACAGGAGGGAGGGTTCATGTAACCTAGAACAGCCTCTATCCCTTTAACGTTTATTCTCAGAATACTGCTATTTATGACACTGCTTGTGAGAGTTGTGTGATTCAGTTATCAGCATAACTGAATTAATTTTCTTAAGGTCAGTTGTCTTCTCTAGACATTAGGGTTTGAATAATATTCAAAGGCAGCTCACAGGAGAATTATCAGCATTTTGGGTTTTGTACAGCCTCAGAATTCAGCACTAATACCATTTTATTTTTTTAATGTCAATGAGAGTATCTGGTAACCAGTGGGAACCAAATTCCATTAGAGAATTTTTGCTGTTCTAGCAATTAATGTCTCAGTAGTTTTGCAGTGGGTAGACACAAACCTTTAGTAATGCTTTTTCTAGTCTCTTAATTCCCACTGTCCTTTTACAAAAAATACTGTCCAGAACCTAAGACAGGTTTGTAAATGTATTTTTATTATGTTGCAACAATCAAAATATATATGTACTACTGATTTTTCCCCAAATATTAAATGAAAATGAAATACATTTTTGCCCACATTGTGTTCTTGAATGCTTTGGAATCTGTGAGGGCCCTGACATAGAGAAACTGAAGCAAATGCACAATTAGAGACTGAAAGGTGTTATAGTGCTGCACTTACATAGCAAATGAAGTCAGATGTCTCTGTTTAACCAAATATAGCCTCAACAGTCTCTGTTTTGTGAGTATTAGAAACAATAAACAAATATACACAGAAAGCATCACAAACCGTAAATTGGTTATTTAAATACAACTGTATCCAACATAGCAGCTAAACACTGGACAATGTTTGAGGTCATCAGCACATCCACGTGCTCTTCTAAGTGACGTTTGGGGTCCTGAAATACAAAGGATGCAATGAGAGAAATGACTGAAACACGTCTCCGAAGGATTTAATTTACTTCAGGTCTATTTAAGATGTCTGTGAGTAAAGGAACACAGGCCAGTAATGCTTCTCAATATCCCAGTCTAGCAAGACCTAGCAAATGAACTTCCATGAACGAGATTTTATTTGTCCATACTAACAGTTAAGTTGAGGGTAGGTTTAGTAAGTAAATCTCCATCCAGCATCTGAAGAGTAACCATGGCAGCTGTGAGTTTTAAGGACAACACACAATATGTGAAATTTACTATACATCGCACTAAGGCCAATATTTAAATCTTGGTTCTGCTGCATTGCAATTTGTTTTCAGATCTTTGCACTAATGTGTGTTCTAATCCTGTAAAGACTCAAGCACCATCTAACACAGCCTTTGAGTACTTGTGTTGACTGCAATTAGCATATCTATACCCATAAAACATGGAAAATGCACAATGCCCTGTTCAAATGTTCTGAAAAACTGAATGTTAAGCCTGAGCAGTTTTCTGAAAATACACATCCCCACACACTATTACTCAATTGATGTGGGCATTTGTGGGCACATACATGGAACAATAAGATTATTTCTGGTTGAAAATCACACTCAGGCACTTCTTCACTTTCACAATTAAGTTATTAATCTCCAAAACCTGCAAAATTATCAGGCATACCTAAAAAAATCTCTAAACTTTACTGTAGTATTATTGTAGCATTCTTGTGTGTAAACAAATGAAAATATGGAAGACAATTGTGTGGGAATCCTAACTTTTGTTAAAAAAAGAATTATTGTCAAAATGTAATGAACCCATCTAAGTTTACACAGAAGTGTGCTAGGATTTCTGTGTGAGCTGTCCTCAAATAACTTGTTTTCACAGATCACACAGTTGTCCAATATGTTTCTGCTCCTAGCAAAGTATGCCCCTAATAACATACTATCCCTATTGTGAGCAGCTCTTTGCCTAAAAAGCTATTTATATATATATATAAAGCATAAAAACCCACTTGAAAATTACTTCACTGAACAATTTCTTAATTTAAAGAAAAACTTAAAAATTTTATCAGGCAAAAAATTCTTTTCTTTTTGAAGAACTGTATCAAAATAGATTTCTTTTTCATGTATTTGTAACAACTAGTGAAGCTCAAGTTCTGTTTGAGATGACATCATAACCCTTAAAATACAACCCTTCTTACATATTTTATATGTATATATTTATGTATGTGTAGGTGTGCATAAACTCCATTGTTCTGAATGCTACAGAAATACACGAGTGACTGAACAATAGTGCAGATGTGTTATGACATTGCTGCTAGAAGCTGACACATAAGAGCAACCCAGAATCCTTTAAATTCTACTGCTACTAGCAATACAATAAATACTGGTTCTTTAAGGACACACTAGTTACTTTAAAAGCTATTTCTTGTTTCCTTTGCCCTTATTGAATTTGAACAGAATCTCACAGAAATTTGCTTTGCTCTCCTCTTGCTCACAAAAGCACATTTCCTCAATCTTTATCCTGAAATGTACTAGTTTTCTGTTGAGCCTTCTATAAAGACATTATATCCCGACATTGCAAAGGGATGGAATGAATTGAGTGAGTGTTTTCAGTTTCAGCTATGAACCTGAACTGTTTTCCTCAAACACCAGTACAAAGGAATGCAGCTTACTTGTGTATGTGTGTGTCAGAGCTAAGCACTGACTGACAGTGCTCATGAGCTGAGGATAGGGGTGAGCTGGCTCTTTAGCCATGATAATGTATAGACAACACTCCCACCTTTGTTTCCATGATTACAATTTTTTAAAAGTCTCCACAGTTTGGGCCTCTATGACACAGACTTGGAAATCTTTATGCCTCTTAGAGGAAGTTAAAACAAAAGAAGAAAAAAGAAAAACTACTAAATCTCAACACTGCTCCTCAGCATGTAATACAAACACAGGTAGAACAGGACTTGTCAATTACTTGTAGCCAAAGCCCTGTTCCTTACACAACCTTCAACAAAAATAAATGTATTATTTGAAGCATTGAGAATATCATGCACGTAGAGCTAAAATCACCTACGCACATGGAAGAAAATTAGTATTTAGAATGAACGAAGCATATCATTCCACCTCACTCTAATTCATCACACCTCACCTGCTTGCCAACATTTTTTATTGCCAGCTGTTCAGGTGTCATCTTATCTTCTTCTTCAACAGCCTGTGAAAGAAACACAGAAAAGGTCAGTGTTTCAGATTTCATTTACTTTTTCCCCAAGCCATAGATTCTCAAAATATAATTCTCTTTCTAGAAAAAATAAATAATAATAATTAAAAAAAATCAAACAGCAACACATTTCAGAGGGTCAAAAGGAAAGGTACTGCAGCTTTTCAGCAGACGTGGTTTTAATTACTAAGTGTTAGTGCAAAAGATCAAGGCAAATACTCATGACTGGTTTTATTGTCAGATATTCACAAAACTGTTATTAAGCAAAAATATTAAATGAGCAGTATCAATAAAGATAGTTGAAGATAGTTAAACTAGTAAAGCATAATCAAACCCAACATTACCTATGCTGTTTCAACTACTGGAGATTTGATCTCAATAAATGTTTATACTGTTTAAAGTAACTTATTTCAAAACATTTTGATAATGTTCTGTTGCCTTCAAACACAGTGTCTTTATAAAGTTAATCCACTAACTTCACTAGTGAATGCAATACTCAATTTTGGTTTTAAGGACTTCTAAGATGTTTAAAAAATAGCACTTGTCAAGAATGACTGACATATCTACTACTCATAGAGGGCTTGTTGAGATCTAGTATGTATGAGAAATATTTCTAAGTGTAAGTGCTAGTATTAAAACTGCACAAATAGCTGTGATTCCTCTTTCTTACAACACCAAAAACAAATGCCTTATTTAACAAGAATATTGAATTGGGCTCTGGAATGTGTTCTAAATACTTACATTTATCTACTGGACTGATACAGATAGATAACCTTTATTTTGCTATACTGATCAAACAGTCCTTGACTGAAGGACTGAAAAATATGATTACCCGCTTACCTACAGGAATCTTATATTCTCTTCACTAAGCAAAAATACAAAATTTATGTGATTACTCACATATCAAAGCAAAACACGTAATTAAACACTTTGACAGTGCAGGGCAAAATGTCAGGTGGCAAAGCCTGAGAAGCTAATAAAGGCAACTTCACATAAGAACAATATGTAGTTGGTCAGTAAGAACCATAATCTCCACATGGTCATTAAAGCCACACTTGTGCCTAATTTAATCAAACCCCAAGAAACTTTGCTGAAAACAAATTATACTAATCAAGTAACCATCAAGGTCCTAAAGAGTTCCTGCAACAACTGTTTTTTCTTACAGTCTAGTCCTTTACAAGTCATTCTGAATAAAGCTTGTGATAATCAACTTCTCCTGAAATTAAGTAACTAATTTCTTCATAAACACAGCTACTGTTATACTATTATTATGGGATATGAGTACCTTGTTATAATTCTTAGCTAATTCTAACATCTCCTTCACTACTGTTTCATTGAGTTTGCAATGTTCACTGTAGTCCTGAAGTGTCAAACCTTCCATCCAACTCTTCTTATGCAAATTTAGCAACATCTGCAAAACAAAACCTCTTTAGAGCATTCAGCATAAAATACTTACAGGATACTATGAAGATCTCTTTGACAAAAAACAAATTTATAATAATAAGAATATAATAAATATTATTGATCTGACACTGTCAGTGTTTAAATACAGGAAATACAATCACCAACAGTTCTACTAGAGCACACAATAGATTTTGCATATACTTTTAAAGATCAAACTTCTTGAACCCTAAATATGAAAACAAGGCATGGAAACCTGGATCACGTTTATTTTGACAGGACTATGTAGGTTTGTCTTCTGTGATTTTTTATTTTTGCTGGAGGTTGAGAATGCACAATTGCACCGCAGAAGAGCTAACAGAAAGGTGGATACTTGAACTGTCAAGTAAAGAATAATTGAACCTTCTGTCCTCTGATGCAGTTGAAAAATATTTTAATGCTTGGATTAAAGTCATAAAGTAGCTATTTAGGCTTCTCTGATTATCTGATCTGTATGTATGAAAGCAACTGACACAGTTATGATAAAGTGAACTTAAAAAGCAACCAAAGCATGACTTGTGTTTGTCCTTGTGCAAAATAAACAGCCCTAAAACAACATGATGAAGGGTTGCAGAGTTCTGATGGTGATGAATGCAGACACTATTAGAAATATTTGAAATCTTTTACTTGACACTCTGATGTCATTCTTGAAAGAGCAAAGGAATACCTACAAAGGGAATTTCTTTATTTTCAAGAACGAAGAAAGTATATTTTGTGGGTCTCCTGCACACCCAAGGACTGTAGAGATGTGCTGGTTTGGGCTGAAGTGGAGTTAACTTTCTTCACAATGGCTAGTATGGGGCTATGTTTAGGACTTGTGCTGAACACAGGGTTGACAATGCACAGATGTTTTTGTAACTGCTGAGCAGAGCTTACAGAGTCAAGGCCTTTGCTGCTTTCCACACTGCCACGCTGGCAAGGAAATTGGGGGTGCATGGGAGCCTGGGGGGAGACACAGCTGGGACAGGTGACCCAAACTGACCAAAGGGACATTCCATACCATATGACATCATGCTCAGCATAAAAGGTGGGAGGAAGAAGGAGGAAGATAGGGACATCATTGGGAGTGATGGTGTTTGTCTTCCCAGGGAACTGTTACGTGTGATGGGGCCCTGCTGTCCTGGAGATGGCTGAACACTTCCTGTCCGTGGGAAGCAGTGAATTAATTCCTTGTTTTGCTTTGCATGTATGTGTGGTTTTTGCTTTCCCTATTAAACTGTCTTTATCTCAACCCATGAGCTTTCCTAGCTTTTACCCTTCCGATTCTCTCCCCCATCCTGCTGGTGGGGGAGTGAGCAAGTGGCTGTGTGGTTCTTGGCTGCTGGCTGGGGTTAAACCACGACAAGGGAGGACACTTCCAGCAAACAGCTTCAGCTTGCCTTCAATTTCCAAACATTTCCTAGGCATCTTTGAGAACTGGTAAGCCCTGTAATTGCTATCACCTGCATAAAAGTACTTGTTTCATCCTATGTACAGCTTCCAAAGAAACCTGGCTTTGGAACACATGAACAGAGTTGAAAGTTTGTGTCATAATTTGTATTAGCAAGATCTTAGCTACTGACAGAAGGAGTCGTAGGCAAACTGCATATGGACAGTTTAGCTAGGCTATCTTGATTTTAAAATTATGGTTTGGTGTGATAAGCTCCTAATCTAATACATGAAGCATGTACTCTTCTTACTACAGATGGAGATAACAGATCACCACCACCATGAGGGGGGTTTGAGATATGTATGAAGCTGCCTTATGAAAGATGTGAGAGAGTTGCTGCCTCACAGATTAAAGTTTTCCTAACTCGGTCAAGATTATTCTCCTACTTGCTAAGGTAATAACTCATTATGTAAAGCCATCGAAGAAAATACACACTTGGAACTTCAGAAAAGACTGGACTTGCCATACTTTTGCATTTGAATGGAAACAATCATCCTTGGATGCTTCATGGACAAGTCCTGAGTGAGCTGGTTTTGTTCCATCGGTTATTCTCTTTTATAACACTGATGTCTGATACAGCCCTAAAAAGGGTTGTGCATTTCAGAAATTCTTTCCAACTCCCTGGTTTGCAAACATATTCTTCCATTATTCTAAATTGAGGATTTTTTTCTTACTTCTAACTCTCTGAAAGTCCAAATTAAGTGAAAAAACTATTCTGATAATTTCCATCAGAAACTTCAGTTATGAGACAAATTTATAACCCTAACATGGCCATGAACATATACAGACATAACTGAGGAAATCTGGATTTTCAAGAATTAACTTCTGTAGATGATAAATAAGGTGGGTTTTTTTGGGCTTTTTGTTCCTGTTTGGTTTTTTTGGTTGAGACTGTCAAGCTAGATTTTGCTTGTAACTTGAATTTTTATGCAAAAGTAACAGACAACATTTGTTGTCAGTAACTTAGTATTTTGTCTGTAAATGCAGAACATCACTGCTACCTGATATTCAGTGAAGTCTTGGGGAGCTTCATTCATACCAACTGGAAGTACCTTCTGTCAAAGTGATTACAGCCAATAAAAACCCAACATCCCTTGGTTATACAATTCCATTTTGGACAACATGGTCTCCTAGCTTCAGGAATTCCAGCCTGTGAAAACCTAGCACAGCTAGTGTATCTTTCAGCTTCACCACTGAAAACTTGACACTGCACAAACCTGTTAAGTGCAGAGAACAGCATGAGGACTTTCCACAACATGTGGACAGAAATGTTGCAAACTATTTATATGGTTATTAGAATGTGGTTTTGGAAAGTTTCATCACCATGCCTTGCCATCTAAGTGCTTTCTGGAAGAGAAACCATCTACTCCAGGATGGTCAAAACAACTACTAAAAGCAACAGCAGTTGAAATCAGAGTATTGCCATAAATCTTAAATAGTTTGTAAAATATTCTTTGTCTTCTGAATATAAGCTGAAACAATTACCTTCTGTTCTAGTTCATTCTTCCTGTAGTTGATGGTGATGGAATAGTAATGTCTGTTTAGTCCGTGAATTAGTGCCTGTAAAATTCAGGGGGAAAACTGCATTAAATTACTCACCACTGAAACAAAGAAATATTAGAAGGGAAAAGTTCATTTAAATACAACCATCTCTAAACGTCACTCAAATAAAAGAAAAGGCACAAAGAAAAAAATATACAGAGAATGTAAGTAGGTATCAAGTAAATATACCTGATCCTATTTCACTTTTTGGACTCATTAACTGTTATGCTTTCTATTTCTAAGCCACAGATTTCTTTCACACAGTAATAACTATAATAAGAAAAAAATGCTAACTGCCTGCAAACATTTAACCGATACATATGCACAAACATATTTCTCTCAAATCCTTCCCCTCTCAATCAATTTTGTTACCACTTCTATTAAAATATTGGGCTCTTTCTGTTACAAACAGAAGACTTTTGGCTATCTATTTATTTACAACCACCGTCAACATTCCCATGCTCATTCTCCAAGGCACAACACACAGAGAGAAGCTGAAGCAGTGTGTAAACACCTCAGGTATCTATTAGACTGTGTGCATCACATTAACCTTGAATATAAAAGCTAATTTTATTTTTAACTTTCAATGAAAAAAACCCAACTCTTACCTTTTTCATTATAATTATGCCCTTTGCAAATTTGTGTAACTTGTACGTTAGAATCTGATTGACAGAGATCAGGCTAAGTGACAGCTCTGAGCATGTATCTTCTGTTTTGCTCTTGTGCATTAGATCTTTAGCTTTTTTACAACTTAAAGGTGAGTTGGACTAATATTGGGGGGGTTTTAAATTCTATGGTAAATCTTCATCACAACTAAAATTGTCTATTTTTCAAATGAAATTTTACATATGAAATATACATTTAGCAATCAGGTATGATAAATTGTACAGAAAATATGCTGAATTGGTGGAAAATATTTCCTACGTTTCAAGCATTCAACCCACTTATCTTTAGATATATTTTTTAGAGCTATACAAATGAATGTGTATTTTCATCTTATGCAACTTAATATTTCTGCATTCCAAAATTATCTGTATGAAAGCTGAAAATGTTCACATACACACATTTTAAACAGAATTCTTTTGCAAATGCATACACAAAGGTTCAAAACTACTTGAATGGCTATGGTTATGAGAAAACCAGGACTTACACATAGCCATCAATTGTGCCACTTATTCTAATTAAAACTGTAAAATACAGGTTTTATCATCAATAAAGTATTTTATAGTTGAAGCTATTAGCAGTTAGTAGTTTCCACAGCCATTTCCTTATCCCACTCAAAATGACTGCATATGAGGTTTTGGTGTTTGCATATAAACTCTGGTGTAGATACTTAGGAAGTTTTCTCAAGCTCTTAAAATTTGACAAACATCTATGCCTTTTCCCATTATCCTCTCCCCTTTCAAACCCCACCCTTTAAAAGAGTGGACAAACCTAAAAGGTAAACAACTGTAAAAGAGCTGTTGATAAGGGAACACAAGAAAAACATACACACACAAAAAGTAAGACAAGGCACATAGTATTTTTCACTATTCTTATTGCTGAGATTTTGAGGAATGTCTTAAAATTCCTGCTTCTAGCCCAGCTGAAATCAGTATTAAATTTGTTTCTGTCCTCTGCTGGCTCAGAATTTTATTCATGGCCCTTGAACAAAAGGAAAACCACAGTGAGAGCCCTTGCAGCTTTAAGAACAGAGCATCATTTAAAACTATGATTTTTAGCTGAATGATGACATTTGCAATAGCTCACTACGAACTTGCAAAAAATCAACACAAACAAAAAACACCCCCTGTAACAATCAAAACCCAAAACTCCCATGGCCAAAATATGTCATGCTGCAGTGACAGTGATCTTAAAATAATGAAGCTGAACGATACTACAGGGGTTTCCAAGGGAGAGCACTACACAGGAAAGCCCAGTCAGAAAAGCCCTTGAACATGCAAGCATGGGCTTGCCTAAACCCAATCAAGACTATTAGCCGCATATTTCGTACTCATTATTGTTTGCATTTTTTACTGATTCAAAAATGAGAAGTAACACGATGTTCTGAAGCAGACACTGTCTAATTTTAACACTTGTTTTGCTAGCATTTTTATAAATAGTAAAGGGTTTCAATGTATCAGTAACAAAAAACCCAACTGATCTTTTGAAATATTGGGGTATGGTGGCCTAGGACCTCCCAAAGGGTGTCTCTCTCACAGCAGAAGCTCAGCCCTTGTTTCAGTTCTGCTGTGACCAGCATATGCTCATTTTCTTGGATGTTTGACTAGCAATATTACTTCTATTGTCCATGTAATGGAACAAAAAGCAAGAATTGTGCTTCATGGTTTCAAGCACACGTCTTTTAAAACACATAGTAACAGGGAAAAGTTTGTTAAAGGAAACGACATTGAGGCAGAAAAATGACAGGGATGAAAGCATTAATCACTCCAGAGGATACTTGTTTCCGGACAGAAGCTATTTCTCAAAATAAAGACTTGCTTCATTGAAGACCAAAACTTTTGTCTTACTAGTGAAAGTCAACTTCAGAAATCAAACGCTGAATATTTAAGTTTCACAAATGCTTATTTAAAAGAAACATTACAGGTGAAGCCAATCAAAAATCCTTTTAATCTGTTGAATATCCTCTTCCATCATTTTTTCAGCAAATTACTGCATTACATAAAAACCAGAGATTAATTATTAAAGACACAATACAAGGTTTAACCTAGATTACATAATAAACAAGAACCTATCAAAACATACAGTAAAAGGACAAGATTATTAATGAAGAGGGAACTTTTTCTATCATTTGAGAGTAATTTACCTCTAAGAAACTGAGATGTTAATAAACAGCAGTTTTTAAACTGCAGGACTGAAAACACTGCCCATCTTGCATTACATGACATGTCATCAATTGTCACTTTAAAAAGTTTGCATTTCCATAAATCTGTAGTTTAATCTTTGCAGTATGTATTTAATACATATATTCACACCTAGGTAGCTAATTTAGGGCTCAATTTTAAACCCTTCACATATATATCTCCATTGATAAATCATATCAATTACAAATGCAGGTGGGAAAATGCTACAGAGAGAACAATAAACAATCTGTAACCTACTGTTTTTAGGTACCTTTCCCCAAAATTGCTGAAGAAATCTTGCAATTTACAAGACTACTAAGACTGGGTTTACCTGGATAGATGGTTTGTTTAAGTGACCCAGATTTGAAGTTGTTTGTCTTGGTTCATGTCCTAAGACCATCATATTAGCATTGATCAATCTGAAGGCATCAATAACAACCTGTAAAAACAAGATGTCAAGTCAATTCTTTTTAGAAAATGCAACTAATAGAGCCAAGCAACAGTGGACAAGGCACAATCAACTCTCATCTGTTTTTGGCCTTTATCCAGAAAATCATTTAATTATAATATTAATAAAGAAGAGCCTCCTGCTGGCTATGTGATCAGCACACTGCACTACCTTGCGTGTACACCTTAAGGTGACTCCAATTATTACCTTTTCCATGGATCTGTTTCATATACATTGTATCATCATATAAGACTGAATTTTATGTACACTTACTCTAAGCTTGAAAGCTATGCATATGTTTGTCACCTAAATCTTATCCAATCAAAATGAATGACAGAGAGAGACTAAAACTGAAAGTGAGCACAAGCTAAGGGACCAAGTCTAAAGCCCAGTCCTGTCACATCAATTATACTACCACAATACTTGAAATGACAACAAAATTATAGCCAGCAAGGAACTTGCCCCATGTATTCCCTTCTAGTCAGATGCTTTTTGCTTCTTGTGACTACGAAAGGGTCTATAAACTGTCTGATGGATTAAAAAGTCCTTGTCAGTGTCATGCTCAGGAGTAAAAAATAGAGTAAAAGAAAACCAAGGTCATTTATGATTTAAAGGTACATGGTAGGCAGTATTCAGTGCTATTTCATTGCAAATAAAGTAAAAACATCACTGATTCTTATTCTGCCCTATGGGTTGGATGACGACAGATGCATTTCTATGTCCAGATTGATAGTCTGAGGAATTAGATAAGAACCAAATATTTTATGTTGAACGAACAAGAAATCAACCACTGTCACTGAAGGTCTGCAGAGAAAGTGACATTGAGTCTCCCACTTTGTTCTAGCATTTTCCTCTCCATTTACACAAATATTAAGAACTAAATACATATGCAGTTTTTAGCATCACAATACAAATGTTGAGGTCATTCATCTGGAAATAATATGACTTGGCAAGTATTTATACTAAAAAAATTATCAGGTGTAAACTGAAAAAGCCTAACTAACACTAACTTTTCACCTGTTGTATTTACTTTTGAGACCCAACTGAGACAGTGGTGTTGAGTGACTGAGTGGTACTAAGGGCTATTGCCTGGACCTTCAGCTGCTGGCCAGATCCATCTGCAAATGTCATGTCTGGAAATTACATGCAGAATACCTTCAAAATAATCTTGTTTAGTAAAGACGTTCAGATGTGACCCAACTGGAGTGACTTAACAGTGCCATTTTTTTCTCTAAACAATAAACGCCCACAATTCAGACTCAATATGCAGCAGAAGGATGCTACCTGATACCAGTGCTGCAAAAAAGGGATCCCATTTAAAAGAACTTAATTCTCAAAAATATCTGAAACTGTTTCTATATATCTATACATTCTTTCTGGTAACATACAAAATAACTGTGTTTTTAACTTTTTAGCACTGTCAGAATTTTCTCTATCTCAAAACACTCATGACAAGCTTTTTTATGTATGTCCGTTCCATTTTAACCAGATGCTCTGATTTATGAACACCTTGAAATGCCCAGCCATCACAAACAGGCAATATAAATTAAAGACTCAAGCAAAGCAAAAAAAAAATTCCACACCACAGGTTCTCCAGAGACTAGCTAGATAAGGGAAAAAAACCCAAGCAAGCAAAAATTTAAGCTGAGGAGCAAGAAACATGAACTTGGCAGCATCCTGTAATGACAAGGAGTTGCTTTATAACTTGCTAGTAGCCATGCTTCTAGATCTGAGCTTAACTGAGAACTTCACTAGACAATGTTTAGCTTATCCAGAAAGAATGGCATTGCCCAGCATGGATTTGTTTTGGGACATGTAAAATAAAATAAAAAATAAAAAATAACTAAACTTTGTTTTTATAAGAAAATTCAACATTTCAGTTAGTGTTCTCAAGATTAGCCAAATTTCAAATTAAAATATGAGTATGAGCCGTTAAAATATTTCCGAGTGATACTGAATATTCCTCTTGCATCTTAATTCTGACCAGAAGTAACAATTACTATGTTTCAGGTATCCCCTGTGTGGGAAAATACTGCACTCTCTATCTGTCCTCTGGAAGGAATGACATGCAAGTATTTCCGAAGTAGAACAAATATAAACCCAAAAGAAAGTGGCATGAAATATTAAATCCACAAATATTATGCTTTAAAAAGGGATAAAATTGCAATTCCTATAATCCCAGAAGGGCACAAAAAGTACACGTGTAAATGCTCTCTCGTCTCAGTTGTACTGTGATGACCAATGGTAACTAAATACTTTAACTACACTAAGATTAAAGGAATTTGCTGCTATCACTATAGCAACCATCTTAAAGAAACTAACATGCTCAGCAACCTGGAGACTAAATTTAGACCTAATACGCAATAAAAACATAAATACAACAATAAATCCTACATATTAATTTCTGTGAAATGCAATTGCTTTTTTCACAGTGAGCACAAACCAGTCCTGCCTTTAGAGGATTACATAAAAAAATAAATAGACTCATTAATGTCCAGTGTACTAATGAGCAATGGGTGAAATAGGTGTTAATTATGCCTCAGTAAGATCCAAGAAAAAAGCCCCGGTGAGCACTTGGAGGTGTGTACAAGCTGAAGTCTCCTCTCCACGTTTGTGTGTTTCGAAGCACAGGATGATGCAATCAGATGACAGCAACATGGTCACCCCATATTCTACGATGGAAACTTCAGCCACAGCATTCCGAACAAAGAACTTCTAAGGATTAATTAAAAGCAGCACAACCCCCCCCTCAGTTATTTAGATTTTTGTTGTAAGAAGTCAGTATTTCACATCCAAAAATGTTAAGCTTTCATTTTACTTAAATTGCTTAACACAGTCTGTACTGTTTTAGTAAAACCAGTTTCCAGGCTTCACGCTAAATTTCCTTTCTGAAAAGACATTAAAAAGTTAATCCAAAGTCTATGCCATTGGGATGTTTTCCAGAAATACGAAGGTAGAAATTTTTTTTTAAATGCACTTCCACAGTGCAACTCTTTCACCACTCTGACCATTTAATTTTCCCTCGTGTAAGTGTCTTCAGACTTTGCAGAGGTCATTTCAACAGCAGACAGCTTATAACAAAACCATTAGCAGTTTGGCTAGCTTAAGGAAACCTCTTACTTTCCTTTTTTGTTTATTATCACTGCATGAATCTGCAGCATATGAGAGTTTATAATTTCTCAGGCTTGTTAAATTCATGTTAAAGGTCTGTTTTCTTGTTGAATAAATTTTGTTCATATAATGCTGCCTATTTCATATACTGAGTCTTTAATAGCACCTTTGGTCTATGCGCAACTCACAGATCAAAACAGAGGACTAAAATAGGGGTTGATGATGCTATTTACATGTGTGATTCCTGATTCTTGTTAGTTAATATAATAGAAGACCTTGTCTGTTTTGTAATTAACACATCTTTACTGGAGAGATATTTGGAAGTGATTGCTGTGAATATACTGGTTAGTAAAATAAACACAATCACACACCACTTTCTGTTATCAGACAAATTTGTGAATTGTACACATTATACTCCAGATCAACAAACTGTGATATAACAGCCAAGTAGAAGACACATTTATATATAGAAGACCTTGTCTGTTTTGTAATTAACACATCTTTACTGGAGAGATATTTGGAAGTGATTGCTGTGAATATACTGGTTAGTAAAATAAACACAATCACACACCACTTTCTGTTATCAGACAAATTTGTGAATTGTACACATTATACTCCAGATCAACAAACTGTGATATAACAGCCAAGTAGAAGACACATTTATATAACCCTTTATTTTTCTGAAAATATGTATTCAATCTGACCTTGCAAATATAATTAGCTTGTGGGATGTGTGGATTTCAGTACCATGGATGCTTTACTAATTGCAGCTCTTGGAAATAGATACTAAATATTTGGAAGCTGCCAATACAAAATAAAAACTGCATCTTTTTGTACATCTGTCTTAGCCTCAAAAAGCATAATAATCTAAAAAACAATAACTATATGGCATTTTTTAGCATTTGCCTGGGGTCAACAGCCCACACTACAGTCCAGATACTCTATTTTTAGAAAGAAAAATTACAATTATCTTCCGTGTGAATTTCAGGACATCTATAATTAATATGATTCAAAGCTATTCACAATCTAAGACAAGCACTGGACTCCTCAATTGCTAACTAGATAAAAATCTGTCCTGTTACAGTCTGCACATAGTTATTAAAAACAATGGCTTGATTAAAATTTAGGATGCTTAGTAGCCAGACTGCTTTACGCTTCTTCCGAAAGTGTGAACGATATATATACATGTATATATAGAAAACCACTTTCTCTAAAACAGTCTTCAGAATTTCGTGGGGTATTAAAAAAATAAAAGATACATTCAAGAGCATTCTACACACTTGATTCTTAAATCCCTCCAGTATCAAACCTCCAAACAATACTTAATAAAATAGTCCTGTTTTTCAAGACCCACTATATTTTAATGGCAAACTTCAGTTAGAAGTAAATTAGTCTTTATTGTTTAAATTAAAAATAAATTCTAACATCAATATTTTTCCAGTGAAGAATCTCAGGCATATGGTGTCTATCTTTAAAAATGCATTGTGTCCTTGGAATTCAGATAGCAAAGCATTGTTTATGCCATATGTTTATGAACAAACATACCAGTGCTTAAAGACAACCGCAAAGGATATAATGTGGTTATGCCAGGTGTGGAAAAAGAAGTAATGTCCCATCTAAAATCTCTTTTATCACCTGCAACTGACCTGTTATCAACTGCTTAGTTTGTTTCTAGAGTCTTTAAATATGAAATGGGCCACGTGACCTGAGAAGTGCAGCTTGGGTTTATGACCATTTCGTTATTTATGCTGCCATGCACTGTTAGACAGCTACAAGTGAAGAACATCTCCTGTCCCCTGCAAGCCCACAACATAAAAAATTCAAAGAAATCTTACTTTTTATGCCATTTCCAATGAAAAGCACTAAGAACTGAAACTGAC